AATAATCTTTTGATATTAATATGTTATACCTATGATTTTGATGATCACAAAACACATTTGAATGACTAATTGGTTTATTTAGGTGTGTAGTTAAATTTTTAAAAGATTGTAAAGTGAGTAAACTTGAACTGTACTAAAAATAGACCAAAAGGCTTGAAAAATGTGCAGAGAGCCGACTCTTAAAACCTACAGTCGGTTCTGGTGAAAGTGAAGTGTAGAGAGCTAGCTCTTGCAGGAGATATTCAAGCCCATCTGTTTTTCGCATGCGCCAAACAACGAGTTTGAATTTCTTTTGCAAAGTCGACTGCTGCTCTTAGAGCCGGCTCTCTACACTTCACTTTCATCAGAGTCGGCTTTCTGCACATTTTTCAAGCCTTTCGGTCTATTTTTAGTGTAGTTCAAGTTTACTTACTTTTCAATCTTTTATGAACCAATTAGTCACTCAAATGTGTTTTGTAATCATCAAAATCATTGGTACAACAATCTCTCACTTTTTGATGATGACAAAACACTTTTAAAATGAATTAATGAAAGCACATATGTATTTCAATGAAAGCACATATAGATTTCAAAATTAACCAAAAATTTTAGCATCAAAACACTCTAGAAAAGCTCTTGAAACCTGCAGTCGGCTCTGGTGAAAGTGAAGTGCAAAGAGCTGGCTCTACGGGAGAAATTCAAGCTCGTTGTTTAGCTCACATGGAAAACAGACGCAAAACCGACTCTGACTTTGCAGCCAGCCATAAGGGCACATTTAATGCACAACGGTCGAATTATTTGAAAATTAATTAATGTTTTTAAAGTTGGAATCCCAAAGCCAGTTTTATATTTTGCAACTAGCTGTGTAAGAAAACAGAATCTGCAGAAAACTCGCAAAACCGACTCAAAGAATGTAAGCCAGCTTTACGAAGAAAAGAGAATGCACAAGAAACCCACAAAGTCGGCTGCAACTCTCAGAGTCGGCTCTCTACACTTCACTTTCACCAAAGCCAACTACAGTTTTCAAGAGCAAGCTCTTTACACATTTTTCAAGCCTTTTAGTTCATTTTTAGTGCAATCCAAGTTTACTTACTTTGCAATCTTTTAGTAATTTAACTACACACTTAAATTAATCAATTAGTTACTCAAAATTATAAATACAATATAATAAATATTTTTTAATTTAATAATTTATTTTTTATAATTTAATATAATTTAAATTATAAAATGGATCAAAACCAATGATGTTAATACCGTACCGTACCGGCCGGTATGGCTGGTACGTACCGGTTTTGGTATTTGACCGAAACGGTACAATGTCAATTTTCGTTTCGGTCAAATTCCGGGC